TTTCTAACAGACTTTAAGCTTTAACCAATATTTACGTTCGCTTTCTATTGAAGATCAAAAGTTCGAGAAGGATAAGCAACAAAGAATTCTTTCAAAAACTAACCAAGAGCTTATTTATCAACAAATACGCTGAAGTAAATGCAGAGGGACTGGGAACACTCTTAGGAAACTGTTGGAAGACATCCTTTGCCAAATCCTCAAGTGGAACTCAAATGGGAAGAAAGAGTTAAGTGTTGTTTCAAGGGTGATATGCAGGAGTTTATGTGAGGAAGAGATAATTCTTTATGAGCAGTCATGGAGCTAGCTAGCCAAAGACGGCTGCAGACAAGATGAAAAGAAATTATGCTGCTGAAGCCCTATGTTCCACTCCAAAGTTAAGGGAATAATTAAAATATATGGTTTGACGGCAACTTACAGATTTCGTTTTGCCAAGTAATCCGTCAGTTATGCACAAATCTCAATTATTACAGTTGTAAAACTCTTAAACTTACTTCTAATGCACTTCATTATTTAGTTTATTTATTGTCAAAAATTGATAAAAATGCCACTGGTTTTCTAAACATTTTGACAGAATCTGAATAAAAGATTATCTCTATCAAAATGAACTAATTTACAATCTTATCAGTGGACTGTTCACTCAAGTTAGCTGGATCATATGTGCATACATTCGTATCAAAGCTGTGAATACTGATATGTATCACGTGTATCAAAAAAAAAACGTTGAAAGTTTCATTAAAGATTATTGGCAGTTGGAGAAGCATTAGAAACCAGACGTTTCGTCCTAGCTAAACACTCCTCATCAGTACGCATCCATTATTCCACCAGAATGGAATCCAGACCATTGAATTCTGTCTTAATGGCTAGACAGTCAACGACCTTCCTTCGTGACCTGAAGATCATTCCTACTTACATAATACTGAAGAGTCTCAAACCAGAACGAAACGGTTGCCTGGTACTCCCTGGTGTTTAATGGTTCTCTAAATGATATTGATCCGTGGTCAAATCTGAAACAAATCAAATCGTTGCAAATTAACTCTTGAAGATTAACAAGACATTATTTCGAATGAATTCTGTTAGATTCTTCCAATCATGATGATTCGTGGAATAATTAACCGATTTCTGAAATTCAGGCAGATATATTTGTTAACGTTGGGTTTTGTGCAGCCAAAGAGTTTTTAGTAACACTCTAGTCAATATTGTTTTTCTTGCAGTTTTATTATTATTGGCTTAAGTGGGCTTATTTTGATTGGATTGATGTATGTTACAGGTTTTTAACTACTTGAGTAGTGATAATTTCAGGCACTGAAACTTGTATATATAAGATTAACTAACACTGCATTTACTTAAAAATAAAAACATGCCATGATTGTATATATTCTGCTAACAGTTAGAGAAGTAATCAGATAATAATAACAATAATAATTATTATTGTTCCCATTGGGTTCCTAGTGGAACATAGGGCTTCAACTACACGTCTCCACTTGCCACTTCTGTCTTCCTTCTGCTGTACTTTTCACCTGCATCATCCATGTTACTTAGTCCATACTGTTTCAACCAATGGCTCTTCACACGATCTCCTCCATGTCACCCTTGCACTGACGTCCTACTCGCCGATTCTTTTTCGGCCTGGTTTCACTCGATCAATGGCCTGACGCGCGTGCGATGTCACCCGCGGCCTCCTCAGCGAGTGTCCAGTCAATCTCAGTCTACTTTCTCCTGCATATTTGTTGGTTGGAGATTGGTTTGTTCTTGTTTTGTTTGTTCCCAGCCATAGTTTTTTGTTGGTGATTCTTTCCGGCCAGCCAGCCATCTGATCTACAGTATAAAGCGAAGACAGTTGTTGATAAAGGTAACGTCTGCAACAGGCTGTTGGAAATATTCTTTGTGACCGATCCGCCAAGTTTCTCATCCGTATAGAAGAACTAACTGACTTGACGTTGTTTGTATTGAAAATCCGACTGAATTTTGTTGTTGACGCTGAGTTGAGTGACAAAGACTTCCAGATTGGTTTCAGTTGGTTGATGAATGTGTTTCTCGCCCCCCCCCCCACCCAATTCTCGCTCGATTTGACATCCTCGTCTCTTCCGACTTCCTGTAGTTGAGATAATGTTCCCTAGATAAGAAAGTGAAAAAAGTAACTTTTTTCAAATCCCTACCATTGATGGTGATTGGCGCTGGATGTTGTTGCTGTTGTTGGTTGGCTGGTTATTTTCATAACCTCCGTCTTGTCTATGCTCGCCTGGGGTCCTGTGCTTGCTGCTTCTTCGACCAGTTTGTCGGTCGGTTTTTGCTTGCAAGTCTTCTTTTTTGGGTGACATCGAACATAATACTATTTAATTATTTGATTTTTCTAAAGAGATATTCTTTTATAGGCATACTTTCTTGGATTGCATAATTTGACAACTTTCAAGATTATTTGTCATACAATGCTCTAGTTTACTCACCTTCTTTCACTTTTTTTCTTGAATCTCTTCAATTGTGTTGAATTTCAAAAGTTTGGTGTACACATAATTATCATTTTAAGACCTTTGAATTAATAAGTGTTTTCCTTTAATACATTACTTCAAAAATGCCTTTAATGAATTTCCAGAACACCAATAGTTTCTGTGATACTTCAGAGTAAATGCGTACGATTGATGTATTTTTTTAGAGAAACCAAGCACAAAAAAGTCCTGTATGACGGAATTTTATGTCTAAGTGTAGGAGAAATTTAGTTTCTGAAAATCCTATTATTATTATTATTATCATTAGTAGTAGTAGTAGTAGTAGTAGTATTCGTTGACCTCATTCCCAGTGGAAGAAAAGGCTTTAGAAGAGTGTCTCGGTTGTACCCGATTCTCTAGTTTCATTTGCAGCTGGCTTCACGACTGCCATTAAACTTTAGTTCCCTCGTCAAGTGAACTCCTTCATATCACCATCAGATAGTCAAATTGTTGTTTCCAATTCGAGATACACTTGACAGCCTGGTGTGTGATGCTACTTCAATGTCTCCACAGCATATATTCAATGCATCTGCATTTCATTTTGCATATTTGTGGCGTAATAAGTCAAAACATAATGCCCCAACATGTTACTGAAGGATCAGCATCAAAGATACAAATACTTTTACGGTATGATGACTGTTAGAAAATGAGAATTTACCCAAATAAATAAGAATACATTATTCTGTATCCTCAATCAAAAGAGCTAAGAGTCAATAGCCCACTGAAAAAATGCTTACTAATGACTCATATAGTGCACGGTTTCGTTTTCAACTCACTCCTAAACCTCACTTGACCATTAATAGGCCAGAATTAGATGGAAGGTTGGTTGTAAGGCAAGAAACCCCTTACCTGATTAAAGATAGAAACACCACTGCTACTGAAACTTAGAACCTGATGCTTGAAGTCATATATTCAACTCAGAAGGCAACACTCTCTACACGCGTGATGGTGATTCCTCCACTGAAAGGTGAATTACCTAAACTAGCCACTTCTAGTTGTATCTACTACCAATTCAACTGCAATTGTGGTGCAGCGAGTTATATCGGCTGTTGCTGTAGGAACTTGATTTTTCGTACTCACTCGAGAACATCTCCCAGTATGGCAAAGTAAAGGTGTAATAAAAACCACCATCAACAGTTCGATATTAGACCATCATCTTGTATAAACCAGCCACAAACGAAGAATTGAAGAATCCTTCTCTATCATCTATCGAATGCCAAATAAATTACCAAAACATCCAGGTACCGCATACTCCAAACACCAGAGACTGTCGCAATTCGTGTAAAACAACCGGTGCCACTACTACTACTACCCTGGCCGGCCTTCATTGGAGATCATAAATTCATGAATTTGTATTATTATTATTCCTAATTTTTCTAATATTTGGTTTATCGATATGTTGATGCTACTGAACTGTAATTTATTGATATCATTGATTCTATATTATTTAAACAACATTAAGGGTGAACCAAAAACCAAATTGACTTCATCTCAGTCTCAAGGAAGTGGAGGCGCAGCCTACTGAACACAGAGTTAAGAAAAGGAGCAGACGTTGGCTCAGACCACTATCTCGTACAAAGGGCAGTCCAAATCAAATTAAAAGCTTTCAGGAAAACAGGAGCTGCAGATAGACCACAAGCCAACAGCAGGAAAAACAACAACGGACAACAATCAGCATAAATGGGAGGAACCTGAAAGAAACAACTTCCTTTACCTATCTATCTGGGAATCATCGTTTCAACTATAGGTCCACGGAACTGAAGAGGATATCAAAGCAAGAATCGGAAAAGCAAGACAAGCTTTCACTACACTTAAGTCTGTATGGAGGTCAGCAGCACTCATCATCAAAAATAACATCCGGATTTTCAACTCCAATGTGAAGTCAGTGCTACTTACCACACGTATGTATCAGAGACTTGGCCAGCGCGTCATAAAGAGCATCTCAGACAAACTATAGACCTTCATTAACAGTTGTATTCGCTCAATACTACTCAAGATCAGATGACCGGCCGGAAAAGATCAGCAACAAGGATCTCTGGCACTGAGCGAGCCAACCCAACAGGAACAGATTGTGAAACAAATAGGCAGGAAGAAATGGAGATGGATTGGCTGGCCATACTCTGAGGAAACAATGCATCAAGTGACATCACTAGACAAGCCATTGCTCGAGTGGAACCCGACGAAAGGGAAGCGGCGAGTCAGTTGGTCGTCAGTGTGAGGGTAACTTGGAGGAGGAGGTTATGTGAAGAGGAGATAAAAGCGTGTGGGCAGACTTGGAGCGGGGTGAAAAAGTTGGCAGAGAACCGAAGGCAATGGAGACTTGGGTGGCTGAAGCCCTATGTTCCTCTAGTTATTAAAGGATATAATAATAATAACCCTAATTCATTCACTATAATGTATATATAACTGTAGAGGCTGATGAGGAAGTTATCGGTAGGAATATTCTTTGTTCAATAACCGTTCTTTTGAGAATATAAAAAAACTACAAAAATCAATAAATAAGACAAATAAACTAACCAGTATAAAGTAATGAACCATCTGAAGCTGTTGGACAAACACATGATGCACGTGTAAAATCAGCTGAAGCAACACACTGACCACCATTTAAGCAAGTTAAACCCCAATGAATAACCATATCAGGATTTAAAGGTTTACTTTCATTCTGATCCAGTTGATTTATAACTTCACTGTCATTAGTTATACTTGTCTGCGTTAATAAATCTGTAAGTTGTATAGTTAAGCATGGATCAATTCTTCCAAGACAATTAGGCTCAGTATATGCAATAATGGTTGATAGCCAGATAAACATTGACACGTGTAATAATCTGTTCCAAGTATAGGTTGACAAATATTACCTAATTGAATTTGACAATTAGTATCACCATTTGGTTGAGACTAGAAAGTAAATGAAAGTCGGAAATTAATGATGATAATGGTGATGATAGCTTCATTTTGAACAAAATGTTTATAATTCGCGGTACAGAATTTTTACAGCATGGCAACTTTAAGAAGGCAATTGCAACGAAGAAAATTTTCTTTTCGACGAAATCATCATCTAGATGGCTGTACATTCGTGTATTTATATCAAATGGATGGGAAAGTTGAAGAATAATTTCCGGTCAAGGGTGTTTGGATAAAAAAAACTAATGTAATGAATAATTAATTTTTTATGCAATCAGGGATTAAATTATGTAGAAATAGTAAAATGACAAAATAAACACGAAGTTCGGGTATGAAAATATGGTAGTGTAAACAAGGATTAAGAAAAACTTAAATAAAATAACATGAATAAACAGGAAGTTTAGATAAGAAAGGCGATGGGATGGTCATTACTAACAAAATTTAAGTGTATATGATGGCCATGGTAGGGACAGGGGTTGGACGTATTTCTTTTGGATACAAAGCGTGGGTTTGAGCTTTTGGATAGCTAGTGCCTTGGCTGTGTCCAAATGTCTCGATTTTACTCCCTTTGATAGTTTTGATTGAATTTTGTATATATTACTTTGAAGGACTTTTCGAAAGGCGCTGAATGTCCTAAATTAACCAAATGTTCTGTCACTGAACTGTATACACGTTTTTGGTCTCCTTTTACTAGCCAGCCTGCACAGTGTTCACCAGCGCGTTTTTTGAGTGACTGATGACTACGTTTCGAGCTCAGGAAATATTACTGCATAACACTGTGAGACTTTATCAAAATAAATTTTACCAACAATGGAATCATACTCTGTTGATACTCCAACCTAAAACTGAAAGGTATTTTTATCAAATCTGAGAGCAAGGTATTCTCTGTAACACTTTTCTACAGTTTTTTCGCATTTTTTCATAAATATATGTATACCATACACAAAAGTGCGTTCGGGGTCATTCGCTGATTGGTAGTTAGTGGTGCCTAAAGTCTAACTTTGCCCATAAAATTTTCGTCAGCTGTATGCCACCTGAACAATGAATTACGTAAGCAATAAGAATGAAGCAATTTAGATATACCTTAAATGAGAATAGCCAACTTATTTTAAAAGAATGGATACTAAACAAAGAGTACTCTTTTCGATATCACCTTAATCATCAGGCTCTACAGTTATATATACATTAGAATGAATGAATTAATTAGTATTATGAACAACATTAATGCTGTTCAAATAATATCGAATCAATAATATTGATAAATTACAGCTCAGTAGCATCAACATAACAATAAACTGAATGTCAGACAGACAAATTAGGAAAGATAATATTACAAATTCATGAATTTATAGTCTCTACTCAAGGCTGGCCAGGACAGTAGTAGTGACTAGCTGGACTTGCTTCTTCTGAACACAGAGCACTGGTTGTTTGAGGCGAATTGCGAAAGCCTCTGCTGTTTGGAGCGTGCGGTGCTTCGGTGATTTTGGCAATTTATTAGCCACCTGGTGGCTTTGTGGCCTGTTTACACCAGATGGTCCAATATCGAACTGATGATGGTGGTTTTCACTACACGTTTACTTAGCCGTAGAGAAAGATGTTCTTGAGTGAGCACGAAAAATCAAGTTCCTAGAGCAACGACCAATATAACTCGCTCCACCACAAGTGCAGTTGAATTGGTATATACAATTTGAAGTGGCTAGCTGGTCTAGCTACTTCATCGTTCAGTCGAGGTAGAACCGTCAGTTGTGTAGACAATAATACGTGTAGTTCGCCGCCAGCATTAAAAGTTCTTTGAACTGATTTTCTTATTTTAATAGGCGTAGAATAACGTGACAAAAAACATGCAGACTAGGTTCGGCAGACTTTACAAGAAGTTATAATAATGAGTTGTAACAAAAATACAGATATCGTATATTTGACAGAGAAGAATACTTCCAAATTTCGCGGTAATTCACTTATAACTGAGGACATCTTCATAATTACGTGTAAAGTCGTTCAACTTAAATGAAAGAGACTAAGGACACAAAGATATCACGAAATAATAGGGGAAAAAGATGAATGCAATTATCTACTTACGTCATTGAAATGAAATGACATTATCTCATCAAGTTAGGTTGAAACGGTGAGTGCTTATCAAGTGAGTTACAGTCTGTTTTTGTGCATATAATTCGCGATTCATTATTCTTCCGATGGTCATGGCTTCAGCATTTCGAAGTAACTGTGTAGCGCTTTGTTTTTTAATCACCCTTAAAAAATTCTCTAATGTTTATCTGGTGTCATGTATTGGCCACATTCAGTGCTTTGGCGTTCTTTAGTGGTGCTTAACTTTTAAGACGTAGAGTTTTAGGCATGTGTTGAACGGGAGTTGTAGATAACTGTCTCTCAGCCTTTTTCATCGTAATTGTGATCACATGTTTATATGAATACATAAACACAATTTGAGTTAACAAGAGCCGGATGTTGGTCTAATTTGAAGTGTGAAATTGAACAGGTTGTTTTATACTGGTGGACTAGTCTGGCGGGCTGGATACGTTGCTGACATTGGTTATTTTTATTCAGCATCTTAACCTACTCTCATAAAATGAATTTTCTATTGACCTAAAGTGGCGAAAAACGCATTCATCAACCAAATGAAACCAATCTGGAAATCTTCGTCACTCAACTCATCATCAACAACAAAATTCGGTCGGATAATCAATACAAACAACGTCAAGTCAGTCAACTCTTCTATACGGATGAGAAACTCGGCGGATCGGTCACAAAGAATATTTCCAGCAGGCTATTGCAAACCTTTTTCAACAACTGTCTTCGCTTTATACTGTAGATCAGATGGCCAGGCTGGAAAGAATCACCAACAAGAAACTATGGCTGGGAACAAACAAAACAAGAACAAACCAATCTCCAACCAACAAATATGCGGGAGAAAGTAGATTGAGATGGATTGGACACTCGCTGAGAGGCCGCCGGGTGACATCGCACGCGCGTCAGGCCATTGATCGAGTGAAACCAGGCCGAAAAAGAATCGGCGAGTAGGACGTCAGTGCAAGGGTGACATGGAGGAGATCGTGTGAAGAGCCATTGGTTGAAACAGTATGGACTAAGTAACATGGATGATGCAGGTGAAAAGTACAGCAGAAGGAAGACAGAAGTGGCAAGTGGAGACGTGTAGTTGAAGCCCTATGTTCCACTAGGAACCCAAGGGAACAATAATAATAATAATCATAATTAAATGTCAAGTAGCAAAATACCTAGTGTCAAACTGAGAAGAATTCATAAGATGTATAGATGTTGGAAAGGGGTGTATAATTACAGGATTTGTAGGCTAATATAAAACGCTACATAACATGGTGTGAAATTTAATAAGATGGAATTCAATATTGTAAGCAATTTTTGGATTTAGAATGACAAGTGGGTCAAGCGGAAACAATTCAGTGAGAATAGTAATAATAATAATTATAATCGTAGTAATGAGGAAAAGCTGCATAGATTAACTAAATAAACAAAATAAATAAATAAATGTCCATCCCTCTACGTCCAACGCAGAAGTAGGGATTGTACGTACTTCTTTTGTACACAAATGTCTGGCTTCAGCTGTCTTTAGAAGTCTGCAACGAAGTAATCGCAACGAACTAGCTTGGATTCGGCAGATGATCTAAAAATTTTGGTCAGCGTTCGTAGAGTGACAAGAGTCTATCAGTTGTTCTGGAATAGAGCTTTGCACACTTTTCCTTTCTCCCCTGTAGAATCATGCTTGAATATGTTCTTGTATCCATGTGGAAAGCGTTCTCTAGATTCGGCCAATACACCTTGCTCCACAAGAGTAGGTGAACTGATAGATACAGATAGAGGCGGCCAAATGGAGGAGCTTATGTTTTACGGAGACTGAGAACAACTTGCGGCTGGTGAGCGTCATTTGTAATTTTTCTGCAAAGAACATCTTACTGACTGCTCTAGAGAGACGGTTGTTTTGAGCATATCTGAAACTTGACTACCTTTGAATTCCAAGTTTATGAATAAGGCTTTGTTGTATGGAACTGAGTTGGTGACCAGTTTAGACTGCTTATCTTTCGTGTTGCTGTCAATAAATCGGTTTGGTTTTATATCAACGGAATAATAACTATGAATGTTTTGTATCCTAAAGCAGGGAGAATGAATTAGGTTCCTTTCCCTCACCTTCTAAAAAACCATTTCTATAAATTCGTTGAAAAGTCTGTTCGCCGAATATTGTCTTCTGAGTGCTATCACTTTTTTTATTTCCTTCACATTCCCAGTGGAATATAGGGCCTCAAGTTAGAGGCTTGAAGTTTCTGTAACAGTGTATATTTTTACAGGATGGGGTTTCTAGCCTCATGCCCAACCTTTCTTCTATACTAGCATTATTTCTGGTTTAGCGAGGCAAAGGAGTGCGTCGACCGGGAATCGAATCCCAGACTATGTGCATGGTTGGCGAGCGTCTTAACCGCTATGCCACCGACGGACGAATGTTATAATGGGAATTATTAAATTAATAGTATAAATCGGAAAGTAATATAATGAGAAAAACGCAAGAAAAGAAGTTTATAAAATCAAAAAAACGAAAACAAATTCACCTACTTTATCAACTCGTTCAGTACATGCATCTCGTGGTAAAGAACAATCAATACCCATATATTCAGATTTACAGATACACTGATAGGTTGAAATATCAAAGGCAATACATTGTAGGGTATTTTCAGGAACACATGCCTTATAAACTTTTCTATCACATGGATTGACTGGTTGACATATGAGGAGATTTTCATCCCATAACATATCATCAAGGCAATTACATTTATAATCATTCTATAAAAGAAAATTATTATTTAAGATGGTTTAGAAAAGAAACTGCATTCATGTAAAGGAATACTGTTACAGTTGAAAAGGCTCCTGTATTCCATCTAGCTTATGTTCAAAGAAGATAATGTATCACAGTGTGTAAACAAGAGACTAAGAGTTGCTTATCTTACAGCTAGTCTTGTTCTCGTGTACTACACTATTCTGTCTCTTTATCAATCGGCTGTTGACCGGTACTCTTCTGAAATTACGTCCATCTCTGCTTACAAATGTACACGTGTATATTCGACTAACTGACTGACTGGTTTCAACATAGAACTTTGCACCGATGTGCAGCATTTCAAGTCGCCACACTTCACTCAGAACACAAAGCTAGAGAAGAAAGTAAAAAGAAACGCAAAATAGAGACAGTAAACAGAGATATGAAGCAAAAAGAATAGTATAGTTTTATCGGGCATTAGAAGTCACAAGGAGTGGATGCATCTGCACTAGCCGTTGAAAACGATTTTGAGCGATATTATTGATTATCTCCAGCCTCCATTAATGCTTACCATCCCAGAGACCTACCTACGTGGCTTAAACTAACTGCTGTGGATTTCATTGACTGATGAGGCCAACGCTGGCTCTTTCTCAGCGTGATCCATCCTGTGTCAACTAACATTGCCCTTCAGTCAAGGAAGGCAATGGCTAGGCAGGCATGCATAGCACATGTCTTAACCATCTCAGTTGGTGTAGCTTCACTGCCTCGTCAATTGATTTCCCCTCCCACCGATCTAGCACTCGACCTATGTTTAACCTATTATACCACCTAACGCACACCTGAGATAGAACGCAGGCACCTATGATCAATGACAGCTAATCTTTTCATGTCCTCCACTCTCAACGGTCAGGTCTCACTCACAGTCATAAAGGAGGACGGGGCAGATTTCTCAGAAGTACACAAACCCTTTGGTCGACAACCAGCCGGATATCTCATCTACGCCAGAGATGGCGTAAACTGGCATATTCGAAACTAGCCCTCTGTATCCGTGCTGAGATTTCGTCAGCGACCAAAACACTTCTCAAATAAGTGAAGTGGTCAACGAGCTCCACCAACCACTTCACTCCCTATATCTAAGCTAGGAGTGAGTGTAGTCCAGTCCTGTAACATCATTTTACATTTATTATTATTATATCCTTTAATAACTAGAGGAACATAGGGCTTATCCGCCCAAGTCTCCATTGCTTTCGGTTCTCTGCCAACGTTTTCACCCCGCTCCAAGTCTGCCCACACGCTTTCATCTCCTCTCCACATCACCTCCTCCTCAAAGTCACCCTCACACTGACGACCAACTGACTCGCCGCTTCTCTTTCGTCGGGTTTCACTCAAGCAATGGCTTGCCTAGTGATGTCACTTGATGCATTGTTTCCTCAGAGTATGGCCAGCCAATCCATCTCCATTTCTTCCTGCCTATTTGTTTCACAATCTGTTCCTGTTGGGTTGGTTTGCTCAGTGCCAGAGATCCTTGTTGCTGATCTTTCCTGGCTGGCCATCTGATCTTGAGTATTGAGTGAGGACATTTTATATTTGGCGGGAGAGAATCGCATGCCAAACATTCGCATATCAGAACAAGTATATCTGAAGGATAGGAAGGTTGTCAGATTCGTTTGCTTTTCTGAACACATCTAGAAAAGTCTGTGACTCAAAGATCTGCAGCCCTTTACCGGCTTCATTGGCCGACATCTAATCGAATCGTCATAAAATGCAGACACTCAAACTGTTTTTACCGTTATAAACAACTTTACGTTGATCTACTGAACCTATTGCAATCAGGCAACTCAAACAAAACTCGTGCTAACGGGAAAAAACAATGAATAATCTCAGTTTACTCTAGTAGCACTTATTATATAATTATATATTCTGTTTTTTTATTTACACTACTCTCATTGTTTTATTTATCTTTATTATAGCTTGATTCCACACAGTATTTAGTTACAAATGTGGTGAGAGCGGGCTGTAAGCCACAAAATTGTAGACAACAATTTACATCAATATTCACGTCACGGATCAGGGTCATGAGAAAAACAATAACAAAGCTTAACCTTGAGGAAATCGCCAGCTAATCACAGAGGAGCTAACGTGTGCAAATAAGATTCACAGATATGTGACTTGATTTTCTGAGAAACGGCTACAAAGAGATGACAGAATAACCTTCAGGAAGAAAACAACCAATCAGAAGAGGTTAGTTCTTCGCTAACAATAACGCTAATAATAATGCACATGCCTGGCCATGTCTTCTGTCGTTACACAGTTATAAAATTTTCAGCACGTGAAATGAGTAGTCCAAATTTAGCAGGCTTACCACTGATGCTAAGTGTGTGTCAGCCGGGGATCGAACCCTACTGCTACCATGGCTTTTTGTTACCAAATTATCTTTACTCAAATAATTAATTTTTAGTCACTGTAAAATGCTTTCTAGCGTGGTATTACGTAATCTCTTTTCCTTGGATATCTCTTTCATTAATGTTGTTTCTGTTGTTAAGTGAATGAACAAAACTTCTCAAATATTGTTTCAAACCTATGCTAAATAACTACTTTCTTTTAGTGTTACTTGTAACTGGTTATGTCATCACATTTGACTCACTCCTGTTTCTTTAAATTACACTCCTGATGTCTTATTTCTGCTTAGTAGAATAAAAAATGTATGTCAATATTTCGTAATTCCTAATCATATTTCAGTTTGTCTTAAGCCTTGAAATTAAAAAAGGCCTACACTATACTGAGAATTTTATTCTCCTTGTTATAAAGCCCTTCAGTTCAAGACAAAGTGTAGTCATTAATGTGAACTGGTGAGGAGTTCAAAAATAAGACGAACATTTGTATGGTACTGCTTGCTTCTTGATTATTCCTTCAGAGTATATTAGTTTTTGAGAAAGTTTACCTTAAAAGTAATCAAATTTACACAAATCATACGCGTTGATTTTTTAATTATAAGGCGTAACTGTAATCATCAAGTCATAAGTGATTAACAAAAGTAAAAGCGTAGGCGTGACATCCGGCTATCAACAACCAAGGGACGTGTGTACTGCTCATCAGTTCGCTCCGTCCTTCTCTACGGCTCTGAAACACGGCCAATACGAGTTGAAGACATGAAGAGGTTGACTGCCTTCGATCATAGATGTCTGCTATCTCTTTCTCACGTTAGGTGGTATAATAAGGTAAGTAATGTTGACGTTAGGCGTAGAGTGTTGGGCGAAGAGGGAAAATCAATCGACGAGGCTATAAAGTTACATAGATTGAGATGGCTAGGTGGCGTGCTGCGTGTGCATGCCTAACCATCGCCTCCCCCGACGACGGTCATTACTAGCTGATATAGGTGCAGGTTGGAACAGAGTAAGTGGTGGCCAAACAAAAACATGGCCTCATCAATCCATGAAATCCTTGACAGTTAAACTGAGTCAGGTAGGGAGATGCAGACTCCCGGGTTGGGGGCCTCGGGACTCTAGGAATCAATGGCTAGAGACAATAGGTGGCATGGCTCAAAATCGTTGTCAATGGCCAGCGCAGATGTATTCAGTCTCTGTAATCTTTCATATTCTTTTCTACCATTATCCATTCTGTTTCACTCTTATACTTGTCAAACTCTATTGATTCTCTTCACTCATCTTGTTGTCTACCTTTGTGTGGTATTTGGAACGCGGCAACTCGAACAGCTGCACTTCGGTGCCAAGTTCTATGTTGAATCCACACAGATAGAAAGACAGAAAATCCACATGTCTTCTTACCAAGAAGCCATTTATGAGATTCATTAAGAAATTAACATTCGCAAGTGAATGCATTATTTTTCCTGGTCTAATCAGTCAAAGTAGATCCCTAGTGTATAATACATACTGGATTGTGCTAGTGAACTTAATAACTTACTGCCACTTTATTTTGCTCAAAAGAACAGATCCTGATCTTCATCCCTATAGTTAAATCAGTGCTTCAGAGACTTAGAGCATCACGGAAGGCATTTTCAACAGGCTGAAGTTTAAAAATGTCGAAAGAATATCTGTTTATATCTATAATTTAAGCTGTATATATTTATAATCATCATATGCTTCCACCAATAAACTACCTAGTGTGGTCAAAAGAAGGACAGACTTTAGTTTTACTCTCGAAATGCTCTTATATGGCCATGCGTTCATAGACTGTGTCAGTTGAGTGTCATTTGCTGACTTAGCACGATGTGGGTGTTACTACCCACAAAATGTAAGGACAAATGCAAACGTCTAACGCAAACAACCAGAATGATGGATATTTAGATCTACCTAGAAGAGATGTCAGATCCCCAGTCCAAATATATTGTGTATACGAGCTCCAGAATCCGAAAATATTGAATGGCGCATAGAAATACCAATTCGCAATAAAACATTCCTATACTAAGTCTGAAGCCTTCTACCTTTACAACTGGTATTGCCGGCAGGATTCGACCCTGGGTTAGTGAGTTACAGAAATATTTGTACAGTACATAAATGGACAATGTGGGGTAGGAAAAACTGACAAATAAATCTGTTCAAGGTTATAAAAAGTGTCAAGTGAGTGAGTGGTTAGTACAAAGTGACATGGTATTAAAGAGGAGATAGTTAGGCTGCAATGAGATATTCATAGTGAAATAACGAATGTGTGAAATGAAACAGGTGGAGGAAGGCATATATTGAGCAAAGATATAATATCACTAATAATAAGTCCAGAAAGCATAAATGGACAATTTGATGGTATTGAGAGAATCTTTGAATGAAGGGTATGGATTATGACGAATAAAAATAATAATAACAAGCAAAGAAAAAGTACTGGACATCGAATCGATGTCAACACAGCTTTCAGGGCTATATACCGAATTCCGAAGTCGTTATGAAGTACAGTTCGCTCACGTCTCCTGTACATAGATGAAACTGTTGCAATAAGATCGACTAAACCGGAACTTCGTATCCAAAAAGAACACGTCCAGACGGTGTTCCTACTGTGGTTAAACTTGGATTGATGATTCCTCTTCTCACCAAGAGTGTTCCTTCCGTCTAATCCTCTTGGTTTTTTTCTTTCTTTGCTTATTATTACAATTATTACTATTACAGTTATTATTATTCGTCATAATTTATTCCCTTCATGCAAACATTCTATCAATACTATCGAATTTTCCATTTATACTATCCGGACTTATTATTAGTGATATTATCTCTTTTCTCAACATATGCCTCCACCTCTTTCATTTCACATATTCGTTATTTCATTATGAACCCGTCTCATTGCAGTCTTACTATTTCCTGTTTAACAAAGACCACTTTGTACTAGCCACTCACTCACCTGACACCATTTATAACCTTGAACTGACTTACTTGTCGATTTTCCTACCCCACACTCTACAAATCGATTATGATAAATCACCACCATTGTCTCCTGTTTTACAATATTTTGTAATCAATTTCAGCCAACTAGCACGTTTGTCACACAAATACGACTATTTATTTTGATACCCCATAACTGCTAATCTGTTATTCTACGCCGCATAATTGGCCATTATTTTACTTACAGTAAATATTATATTTTATAATTGTAAGAATCTGAAGAGGAGAAATTATTGAAAAGAATATTCTTCGTTCAGACTGACTTTTAATTAATATATATATATATATATATATATATATATATATATATACGTTTATGATATTTCAAATATATCATTAAAGTAACCATTAATAATAATATAATGTATACCTCAAAAGTTCCAGTAATTGTGCATATATTATCTTTTACACCTTTAACTGTTCGACATGGATTTCCAAAACATGGATCTGGACAACCCTGGATTATATTTTTCAAAAGTATCATTTGTGCTGTTCCGTTTATACGTTTAAAATATTTCCATGCCTGAATTAAAGGTAATAATAATAATAATAATAATAAGGTCCTTTAATGAAAATTAGCAATAATTTACTCTCAACTTTGGTATTAGATGGTTGGAGGCAATCGGTCACAGGAAGCCTTGGAGATAGGTTTCGTGCTAGTCGGCACCCATCAGCAAGGCGTATCTGCAAACTTGAAGGAACTCATGTACTTTCTAAGATTCGAACCCGCGTCACTCAATGCTGCAGTCAGAGACGTTACCACTGAGCAATTCGGGCTCACGATTGACCTCCTGTAGGACTGTATTGGGTATTTTCGATTACACACTAGTCAGTAACTAGTGTAAAATCGAAAATACTCTCAACTTTGTCGTTTATTTAATTATATAGTCATTGTAAAGTATGATTTAGTTATATTAAAGGATAAGTAAAAGATAGAAATAAGAAAATGATGTAAGTGGAGCAACTAGATAAAAGCTAATAAATCTGATTGATAATCTTCGGTCTATTCCTTTATGTTCTCAGTGGAATGTAGAGCTTCATGCTACAGACTTGATGTTTCGGTAGTAGTAGTAATTATTTTTATGCAGTTTAGCTCCCAGCCTCATGCCCACCCATGTCTACCAGTTTTGTTACTGGCTTAGCAGGGTAAAGGGGTGCGTCGGACACTGATCGAACCCTGAACCACTTACGTGGTTGGTGAGCATTCTACCCGTGTTCCAGTCGTCAACCAATTGTGCGTACACCAAACATATAATCTCATATTAACCTTCAGAAAATGTCAGAGACTCCATACTAAGAGCCGGTATTTCAACAAAAACTGAGTATATCGGTTCCATAACAACTAATGCCTACTGTGATTATAACAAGTGACACTCATGGACCAGTGGTCTTGGTATTTGAAATGATGGGTATTGCCGATGGAGGTACATCCTACAAACGAGTTCTAAAAGAGAAAAATGAGCCACCCGGATCTAACAGCTATTTATTATCAGCCAAATAGCACCATGTTTAAGTTCAAACATCATCATCAAAACCCCCGTCTTAGAAGCGAACGTGTCAACAGAGATCGAATGTTTTGTTGAAATAATAATCAGTCAACGAGAAGTACAAAATCAGTCATTTTAACTATCACAGTGATTCCACATCATATTTCTTAACTAATCAGTTAATGGATACATACCATCATCGTTGTGATCTTTGTTATTTTTTGATTATTCTATTCATTTATGTTCCGAGTGGAACATTGGGGGTTTCGAGGTAGAGCTTTGAAATTTCAGTAGCAGTAGTTTTATTCTTAGAGGGTGAGGGTGCTTACCTCATGCCCAAATTTCCCTCTATACCGACTTAGCGAGATTTAGGAGTGCATAGGCTAGGGATCAAACCCTAAACCGTATGAGTGGTTGGCTAGCATTCTACCACTGAACCATCGATGCACAAGTATTATCATATACAGACTTATTACAATTTTCTTCTTCATACTGATCATGAACAATCAAAAATTCTTTGTAATTCCAATTACATTTACGTTTATATTATCATTGTATTTAGCATACTTATGTAAGCTGGTGTACGGGCTACCGAATCATCAGGTAGAAAGCAGTGCACTGTATGTCAGAGAAAGTTACTGAGTCTGGTGTCCCTCAAGGTGCTGTCTTTTCTCCTTTTCCGTTTTCTTTCTTTTTGCATGACTTGCGTCAATCTGATGACGAGATGAACTTTGTTAAATATGCCGATGATCTAACTAACTATTTCAATGTCTGCTAACTCCTAGCTTGACTGTACTAAAGATGAACAGCTGTCTATATGGAAATAGCACATGGTCTTTGTCTAATGGTCTAAAACTAAATCCTTCCAAATGTCGGACTGTTAATTTCAGTTTTAGATGTAAAACAATGTTAAGTGAAGCTGTTGGTTCTTATGACTGTTGCGAAACTGATGATAGTGATAAAGAAATCAGGTCTAAGGTTAACAGTCTTGGATTAACTCTTTCTACTGACCTATCCTGATCTTCTCACGTCTAAGCGATTTCTAAAGGAATATTTCGTCTAACTTTTTACATTAAGAAGTTAAGGCACTCAGGCATAACTCAATCAACCCCTCCTCTTACAGTTTGTCAACTCGTCCATCTTACCTTTTCTTTTTTACTATTCACCCTTGCTTATTCTTTCCCGGATTGCTCAGAAAAGACTATGTAATACTTTGTAGAACTCTGAAGACTGACTATCAGTAGGGCGAGTGGTATCCCATTGGCCCATATCGTTGACATGGTCACTGATAGACACTTGATGTCATGCAACAAATTTGCTAAAGGAATTTTGTCACACTCTGAGCACCCACTCTACCCGCAGCTCAAACTTTGTGTCTCCTCAGGTAAAACAATAAGTCTTTTCACAAGACTTTATGCACGTACGTCTAAGTATAAAAATTCCACTATACCATATTTGACACGTACTTTAATTGATGAAAATAGTTTTAGTCATGAACTAACTAACTAACTAACCTTCTTTGCACTATTAAGTAAACCATTTCTTCCACCCTTATACTACCAAACTTTATTGTTATTGTATTTCTTATATTTATAATCCTCTCAATTTTTTTGTTTTTATTTATTTATTTTTCAGACGTGTGAACATCGTTTAAACTGTGTTACCTCTGTTGATTTTGTATTTCCCCTCACTATACTATATCAACAGAACATTAGATTGAATAATCTATAACGTCCTAAAGTTTCCAAACTGAATCGAGCATGCTGTTTGAAACAAACTCACTGTTATTACTATTATTATCATCTTTAATATTCTCAATTCATTCCTCGAATATTTTTGACTTTATATCGTAAAAGTGGACAAATTCCTCTGGTTACTTTTGTTTTAATTTTATTTATATTTTAAGTAAATCAGATGCAATATTGTGACAAATGCTGAGAATTCCATTCTGTATTATAAGTAATGTTTTTGGAATAAAGTAACATTATTATTATTAGTCTTTGAAGACTCTAACTGTTGGTTTGACCCATCTATTTAGGTGTAGACTGTCTGAACTGAGTCATCGAAACACTCAGTACCAATAACTGGAGATTTTTAGTGACATGGCCTGCACTATGCTCAGAAAACCCCAACAGAAGCATTTCTGTTATCCTTCTAATATACCTGCTACTGCAAGTGATATCATTCCAACAGTGAAGTATGTTATTTTCACTAATATATGACTGTTAAAATTTCAGGTAGACTGTAGCAGATGAGAACCTGAGAAATAAGATGATGTCATTTCATACTGCAAGAATTAGTCCTTCTGGCTTTATGAAATAAATCAATAGATATTGCCTAATATCCCTTTTTGGAAGGGCTTAATTTCAGAGTAGATTTGATCACGAAATATACATCAGCTACAGGATTATTGACAAGTAGTGAAGAGGATACATTCTAATTTATATTTTATCACTGATGTACCAATTATGGGGATCAAATATTGATAGACAGTACGACAGAACTGAAGATAATCAATTCTGAGAGTAAAAACATGTTGACTATCGGTCGGTAAATCGACGTTTACTGTCTCATTCGCTATAGCACCGATCAATACGTACGTAATACACAGCAATCAGTGATTCATATCTCTAAAACTTGAATTAACTCATTTTGTTTTGAAGTGATTTTGTGGATTGGGACTATCAATGGAATATGGGATAACTCAAATTTCGTTCTAGTTTGGACTCGTCATCCGGATGAACATGCATTTTCCAGTGAGTGATAGTGTCCTCACAAAGACTCGAAGTCAATACCCATAGTTTCAAATGCTAAAGCGTTAATTACCAGTCCATTTGAGCAATGTGATCCACCTCTTTTACAACGGATATAGGTAACTATTTTATTTAGTTTAGACTTTCCGTCTAATCAATCAACGGGAAAGTCCAAATTGAATTAAACTCACTTTTTATTGTTTGAAGTATCTGACTGAAGCATATGAAAAGTTATATATGTCCAAACCAAGTTCACATTTAACAGTTTGAAAAAATTTAGGCATTGGGTATATGATATTCGTTATAATAAAGGTTTTTTTTATTTCCCAATGAATGAAAAACAAAACGATATTATTGTTTTTACTGACGTTTCGCTAATTAATGCTGCTGCTAATAGATTTATCAAAGTAATATGAAACCGGAATTTACAAAATCTCAGCATATATATAAAAAAGAGTTAAGGGGTGAGAAAATAGACTGAAGTCAAGTTAAAGGGAAAACTCTAGTATGGCCAGAAACGCATTCCGAAAACATGGACATCAACAGTCGTCATTCCATATAGAGCAGGAAGTCAGACGATATCAGAAGAGTATTCAATCAGCTCAACATTAGAGCTTTCTTAAAGACATCAGACACATTACAAAACAACCTTTCCCATATAAAAAACCAAATCCCGAGAGATTCTCTATTTAATTGTGTCTATACAATAAAATGCTCGGAATGTGATGCGATCTACATCGGACAAACATCTTGAGAAATCAAAATCAGAAGAAATGAACACTGTAGAGCATCTCTTCGACCACCGAGAAATCCAGTTGAACTAGAAAAACTTGAAAAATCATCGGCCACAGGGGGGCTACACCCTATAGAATCAGGTCACAAAACTGATTTTGACAATATTGAAATAATCCAGAAAAACTTTAGAAATCACAAAGAACGTCTAATATCAGAAGCACTTGATATCAAGTGGAATCCGAATTGCCTGAATAATAATGATGGACTGAAACAGGATCTGACCTGGTTACAACACGAATGTGATAAGCAAGTTCACTTACTATTTAAACACACACTGCTTTTACAATTTTTTACACACTGATCAAATTCAACAATCTACACTTGATTTTGTTATCTTTACCAATCGACCAACTTGACAACGAAAAATGACCTCAGACTGATGAACGATGATCAAGTTAGTAAACTTTATTTTGATATCACAACAGACGTACCTTTGTTATATGGTTTAGTGATCTTCATTGTTATTTTGACTTTCAATATCTCCTTGTAACTTGACCTAACGTGTTTATTTTCTCACCTCTTAACTCTTTGTTACATATATATATATATGCTAAGATTTTATAAATTATGGTTTAATAATACTTTGAGAAAGCTATTAGCATTAAACAGAGAAACGTCAGTAAAAACAATTATATCGTTTTGTTTTTCATTCATTCATTGGGAAATACAAAAACACCTTTATCATATGAAAAGTTATCGACAAGTTAATATATATACACTAGGCCGCTTCACTTACTGATGGCGTGAATGAAGACGTCAAAGTTAGGCAGAATAGTAAAAACAAGACAAACATTCATTATTTTGAAATCAGTGTAGAAATCTACCGCTAACCAAACGAGATTCGTGTTCTCAACCCTAATGTCAAATCAGTATTTCTATATGTATATGCTTGAGAGACGTGGCTGGCGCTTCACAGAAAGCATTTCCAATATGCTACTACATACATACACACACACACACACTCTTTAACAACTGCCTTCTCTCCATTACTGAAGATCAGAGATGATGACAAATGATAAGCAAGAGTAACAGTCAACTCTGGCAACGAATCAACCAAGTGTTTTTGATGTGATTGTGTTCTCTGAGCTGGCTGGATAGTTAATTTTCGAAGCTTTCGTCGCCCTACTAGGCGACATCTTCAGCGCATACTTCAATTCGTTGAAGTGAGCTTTTAGATTTTTCCACGAGTTCACCATTAGCCATCTCTCCTGGTAACCACCTTGGACATCGTGATTGGTTGTTTCTGTGTGTTTTCACACCTTCTAGGTTACTTGTATTGAAACTGATTGTTTCTTTGACTTGAACTTTAATCCTTTGTGTGTGAGGTTTCTTTCTTGTCCGTTGGTAAATTCTGTCTATCTCGATGTGCCTATTGATTGATGATTCACTGGAATACCAGGCTGGCTTCTGAAAATTCTCTAGCATTCTTGTTGTTTTCTCTGTCTAATATTTTAACGTTTTCCCAGTCAAATTGATGTCCGTGGTTGTCTGTATGCAGCGAATGATATGACGGAGTGGATATCATGTCTTTTGACGGCTACTTAGTTTGTGTTCATGGATACGAAGACGACGGAGACGTCCACTTTGGCCAGTGTGGAGAAATCCTAAAGCTCACTTCAACGAATTGAAGTATGCGCTGAAGATGTCGCCTAGTAGGGCGATGAAAGCTTCGCAAATTAACTATCCAGCTCAGAGAACACAATCACATCAAAATCATCCACCTGAGCTACAAATCTTCTCTATCATATCCAAACAAGAATGTATTGCCCAATAAGTATGCAAAAGGAAATGGATACGGACTAAAGTGAAATTACACTAGCAAGTAGGCCATCATGTGGAACTTGAATGTCTAAAAAAACGCGTGAGATGTTGGTTGACAGGAGGAAACCAAAGTTTATGGGAAATCTTAGAACCATCTAGGAATAGATTTAAAAAGACGACAAAGTGAAATGCAGATATGTTGCCGATGCCCCCTAAGTTCCACTTCAGAACCGAAGGGAATAATAAAATAATAGGATTTCATCATGAGCTGACATCGGTTAGAGAACCATTGGAAAACCAGATGGGAGTACTGGACAGCTGTATCCTCAGTCCTAGTATGCGACTCTTCATCAGTACGCACCCACCGGGATTTGAACCCAGGGCCTATTGGTTACAAGGCGAGCTCGTATACCATTGAGCCACTGAGACCCAATCAAATGGCTTATGAATTATAACTTCTACCAATTCACGACATAGCGTGAACCCTAGCCATTGTCTTCGGGGAGTACTTGTCCTCACACCCGACTTACTGCACCCTACTGGTCACGACTTCTCACTAGAACCTCAAGAGGTCCTGGGTTAGAACCCCGGTGGGTGCGTGCTGCTGAAGAGTCCCAAACTAGGACGAAACAGTCATCAGTACTCCCGGCTGGTTTTCCAATGGTTCTCTAACTAATGTCAGCTCATGATGAAATCCTTACAAACCAACACTTGAATAAAATAATAATAATTATAGATAGGTTTATGGACAAACAAAAATAAATGAAGTAAAAATGAAATTTCACATGCAGTTAGGAATGAACCACACCTATTGTGTATGACGTCTAACGATACCACTACCTGGCTACCCAAACTTTTTGTAGGTGAAACAGGATATGCATCCATAACCAGCTGGTCAGAAGTTGAGCAGTTAAGCCGATGAGCAACAACTCAAATGAATGAAGATCTTGATAAATGATTACAATTCTGAAAACGGATAAAATTTTATCCTCTTTTCTATAGTTTGGTTTGGGAGGGTTTTTATTTATGTTTTTACGAGTTAATAAAGGATTGATATCAGTTAGAGAAGCAGTGAAAACCAGCACCACAGTACTGGACAGCTGCTGTTTCATCCTAGGTTGGGAATCTTCGGCAGTACGCGCCCACCACTAAGGTTCGAACACAGGACCTTCCGGTTACTAGGCGAGCTCGTATACCATTCAGCCACTGGGACCTGATTCAATGGCCAGTACATGAATTCTAACTTCTACCAATTCGTGATTTAGCGCGACCCCAAACATTGTCGTTGTCCTGTAACCGGAAGGTCCTGTGTTCGAATCCAAGTGGGTGCGTACTGCCGATGATCCCCAAACTAAGATGAAGCAGCATCTAATCAGTACTCCCCGGTTTTCAGTGTTTATCTTCTTTTCTCAAATTTCATGAAGTGTATGTAACAAGTGTCATCTTAAGTCACCCAAAAATGAATAACTAAAAAAAATGATACGCATCAAGAGTGTAAATTCACTTTTCTCTTAAAGTTAACTAACTTTTGTACACCAAATATAAGCAAATGCTAAACTAATATCAATTTCTGGATCTTCCATCATTGTTTGAATTGCTTTAGCATTTGATGGTATTGTTGAACAACTAGGATGAGTTGCTTCATCACAACATTCCCAACGTTTTGAATCATCTTTAGTACAAAAATCTCCACGGATTGCATCTCTAAATTCTCTAAATGAAGGTTCTATGCTAGAATTTTTATCAAGTATAAGATTGTCATATTTTGACCAAAATGAACTTCCTGTATAAAAAGGGAATATAAAATGGTAATAATAATAACAGTAGGAATAATAGTCTATTCATAGTTTTAAGGTGTGCGTCTTTGCCACAGCGGTAGAATGCTCACCAAACAGACAAGTAAGTGGTTAGGGGTTCGATCCTCGGCCGATTCACCCCTATTATTATTATTTGCTTTAATTCCTAGAGGAATGTAAGGATTCAGCCGCGCGTCTCCATTGCGTTCGGTTCTCTGCCAACTTTTTCACTCTGCTCCAAGTCTGCCCACATGCTTTCATCTCCTCTTCACATCACTTCCTCCAAGTCACCCTCACACTGACGACCAACTGACTCGTCGCTTTCCTTTCGGGTTCCACTCGAGCAATGGCTTGTCTAGTGATGTCACTTGATAGTTTACTTCCTCAGAGTATCGCTAATCCATCTCCATTTCTTCCTGCCTATTTGTTTTACAATCGGTTCCTGCTGGGTTGGTTCGCTTATTCCCAGAGATCCCTGTTTCTGATCTTTTCTGACCCGCCATCTGATCATGAGTAGTATTGAGAGAAGATAACTGTTAATGAAGGCCTGAAGTTTGTTTGAGATGCTCTTTATGACGCACCAAGTCTCTGATCCGCATAGTAGCATTGACTTCACATTGGAGTTGAAAATCAGGAATGAGAATAACAGTTTACTAACTTTCATAGTTAGGTGCCTCTATGCAAAAAACGAAACTTGATCCGTTCGCTGAGTCACAGAATCCTCATCATTTGCAGCAGTAACATTATGGAAGAAAAGTTGAATACTCTGAAAAGAATTTTTCCTGGAAAATGGCTAGGTGGAGTGTTTCATCACAAAATTTATCAAGACTAAACCACTAGAATCATCCATACTTTATGCTTCAAAAAAACTTCTTTGCTTGAATCTGTAATTCAATAAAGACTAATTGGTGGAAGTACTGAGAAACCACTTGTTCTGCTCTCTGGAGACAACCTTCTTCGCTGCTGAACCTCCAATAACTTTCTCTACAAAACCAGCGATTCTCATGAATTCAAAAGTAAAGCTGCCACTACTGACTGACCTAATCAATGTGTGTCTACTAATTCACCTGCTTTTGAGGAGCTAAGTGCATCGGCTGCAACCAACATTTGTCATCCAAACTTATATTCATGTTTTTACGAAGGAGAGCTCTCACCACAGCTCTATCCTAAAACACCTGATCAAATCTAGACACCATAGTAACCTACAGAGGAATTTCAAAGTCATCTACAGAATGCATGGGAATCTCGTTTAAAGAGTACAAATCAAACTTCTTCAAACCGCAGAAGCAATGCGATTCACATGTTAAATCCTGAACTCTGCATACAAAAGAAGTTCTTTTTAGTCATCATCATCTACAATGGACCTGATCTACCTTAACACCAATTACGTAATTTTTGATTTTTGTTTCTGGATTGTACTGTTTTCTACCCTCATGCGCTATTAAATTTCTACCCCTTATTATCACTATTGTTAACTTGACTTCCAATTTTTGGTTGAATTCTACTCAACTGCTTCGGTTGTATTGTGGTGAGAGCAGGCCGTTAGTCAAATTGATAAACAATAATTTACGTCAAAGTTTATGTCCCAAATATTGGTCGTGAGAAACTATGAATAAAGTCTGATTCAACAACCAATCACAGCAGACTTTGCGTAGGCGGATACAGATAACATATAGATGATCTGACATTCAAAAAACAGTCACAAAGAGATGGAAGGTTAACTTTCTGTGAGAAACAACCAATCAGAAGAGTGTGTTTGTTTGCTTGAATAAGCTATAATAACGTTCATCAAAAGAGATAAATACGTGCTGATTTCCTTAATAAACGATATGTTGCCTGGCCCTTGTCTTCTGTCGTTACAGTATTACTTTCACTCAATTTACTCACGTGATTTGATTTTAATTCCTACTTGACTAATGCTTTTAACATTAAGTAATTAGGCATCTGGAACTTAAACTTCTAATGACACACAAATTTGAAAACATTCCGTTTGTTGCTAAGGGAAAAATCTATGAAGAATCCCAACCCAGATATTAGTGAAAACAAAACACATCTGTCTGTCTGTCTGTTTTCGACATACAACTTTGTACCGATGTGCAGCAGTTCAAGTCGCCACACTCCCTCCTTGTAGCACACAAAGCAACAAAAGAAAGTAGAAGAAATGCATAATCGAGACAGTAAACAGAGTTGTGAGACAAAGGAATAGTAATAACGAAGAACAAAACAGTTTCATTGGAGATCATAAGTCACAAGGAGTGGATGCACCTGCGCTAGCCATTGCGAACGATATTGGGCCATATCAACGATTGTCTCCAACCTACATCGGCGTTTATCGTCCCGAGGACCTCAACCAGGAAGTCTATACCTTCCCACATGGTTGGCTGGCTTAAATTAACTGTTGTGGATTTCAGTGACCGATGAAGCAATGTTTGGTTTGACCACCGCCAGCTGTTTTCCAGCCTGACTCTATGTCAGCTAGCATTGCCTTTCGGTCGAGGAAGGCGGTGACTAGGCATACATAACACATGTCCTAGCCATCTCAGTCGATGTAATTTCACAGCCTCGTCTAATGATTTCCCCTGTTTACCTAGCACTCGACCTATGCCTAACCTCAATATTGCTCACCTTATTATACCACTTCACACGGGAGATAGATCGCAGGCACCTATGATCAAAGACAGCTAGCCGGGCTTTTGTTGTCTTCCACCCTCAATGGCTAGGTTTCATTCTTAGTCATAAAGGAGTAGGGAGCGGACTGATAAGCAGTACACCCACCCTTTAGTCGATAGCCGGATATCACGTCTGCGCCAGAGATGGCACAAACTGACATATGCGAAACTAGACCTCTGTCTCCGTGCTGAGATTTCGTCAGAGATCAACTCACTGGTGTTGGCTGGTGCAACTTCCCAAATAAGTGAAGTGGTCAACGTTCTCTACCACTTCACTTCCTATTTCTGAGCTAGGAGTGATTCAATGTAGTCCAGTCCTGTGACATCATCTTACATTTGGCGGGATTAAATCGCATGCCAAACATTAGTAGATTGAAACTTAGTATGTTTAGAAGACTCTGCTCTATTTTGTCAGCATCCTTGCCTAGAAGGATTATATCATCTGCATATTCTAAGTCAACGAGATTATTCCTGGTAGCAAGTCAATCCCTGAGTCGCTGAAGTCACTTTGGGTTAAGTCCATTAGTACATCTATGACAAAATCAAATAGAAATGGGGATAATGGGTATTCCTGATAGACACCACTAGTTTTCATCACTTCAGATGACACGTAGTTCAGCCAAGAGTATCTTTTGCGATTGTACAACTGGAGAATGATATCGGTGAAATGAGTAACTCTTCGCTGAACGCCTTTTTGAACTCTGTGGGTATTTTTTAAAATAAAAATATAGAAAATTGCAAATATTAAAGAATTCCTTAGTTTTTTTTACAAACTACTTGATGTATTTTCCAGCATTCCAGGTCACTAAAAAAAGGAAGACTTTATAAGAAAAATTTATTCACAGTTATCTTGATCTTATGCATTTATAGTTTGATGATAATAATAATAATTTTTCCTTCACGTTCCCAGTGGAACATAGGGCCCCAAGCTAGTGGCTTGAAGTTCCTGTAGCAGTGTTTATTTTTACAGGATGAGGTTTCTAGCCTCATGCACAACCTTTCCTCTTTACCAGCATTATTTCTGGCTTAGTGAGGTAAAGGAGTGCGCCGGCCGGGGATCGAGCCCCGGACCATGTGCATGGTCGACGGGCGTCCTAACCGCTATACCACCGACGCACTATAGTTTGATGATAAAACGCCTATAAACTACACAACAGATTCATATTGATTGAATTCCTGGTTGAAGTACTCCTAAGTCTCGTCAAGGTGGTGCCAAGTTTAGAAAACAAAAAGGAAGGAATATGCGTGAGGTCAATATAACTTCCTCAAATTCTCAAAAAATACTTCAAAATCTTGAAGCTCTGTATTCCAGTCAGAATTCATCGAATGTAAGGGAAAACTGTTTACTATAGACAGTTAGGTTATTAAATGTGTAAGAGGGAAATAAAATACCTTAAAATGTAAATTGCCAATATCAATTTTTCTCTTTGTACAGGGTCTCCCTGTAACTGGCTACGCTGCTAAGCATAGTTTATGCCTTATTTTGTACATCGGTATGCTTTTGTCTGCTATTAAAAAATGAATGGGATTCTAAATCCATCAGCTGTTAGCTTTGCGATTTATGTACCTTAGAAAGAGTATTAAAATGGCGCTATTAGAAGTTGGGATTTGCACGATGCATTTCGAACAATCTGATCACATATTTGCTTGTCAAATCACATTATATGAAAAAAAAATGAAATACCAAATGAAATAAAGAAAGTGATTAGGGATTTAATAATACGAAGGGAAATAATTCAAACTGCTTTTAGTAATGTAATCAGGTAAAACTTTTATCGAGTTAGTTTTTGTACACACAGCGAGGTGTAGTGGAGGCTTAATTTAAGTGTTTCGATGTAAACGAAGTTCGTAGTCTGCCATTTGTGATTATTGAAGTTTCACAGAATCATTTATTTCTCTAAGGCATTTGGACATATGTTCTCCCACCATCGATTACTCTTCCTCATGTGTGTGTGTGGCGATTTCGAATGTACAACGGGTACCAGCTTCAAAGAAACACACTTTCCTGCTGATATATGTTGCACGTGTGGTGGTTGTTGTGCCCTAAATGGTCTAGTGGATAACGCTTTGGAGTTTGAAACTATGGTTACTAAATTCAAGTCTCAGTGGGGACACCATCATTCACTGGGGAGTACATGTGTAACAAGAGAAGACAAGGGCCAAACAACAGATCGTTTATTAAGGAAATCAACACATATTTATAGATTTTCATGTACATATTATAGATTATTGTTAGCAGAAAAACAGAGTCTTCTGATTGGTGGTTTCTCACAGAGAGTTAACCCTGCATCTCTTGTATCTGTTCCTCGAATATCAGA